TGAAAAACTAGAGAGAAGCAGAGTTGTACAACACAACATCAACAACAGATTGACTTTCTAGGAAACTTACTACTGAACAAACTTCTACCAACTGAACTTATATTATTAACCATGCTTCTAAAGGCCTTCCTTCTTTACAGTCAACTACAATGTATCACATCCTATAAAACCACCAAATAACTTTTTGAAAGACTACAACATGTAGATATTTTTCTTCCCCCCCCCCCCCCTTTTTTTTTTTTAAGAGGTCAGACTTGTGCTTTTAAATCTAAGCAGAGAGAAAAGTATGACATCTACATGGAAGGTATTCTGGGGAATGACTGAAAGACTCCTTCCAATCTTTCCACCTACAATGTTATTCTATTTTGTACATTTAAAAAAAAAAAAAAAAACCACTAGTTTCCTTCTTTGGTATATTTTGTTGAACAGAAGTGATTAAGTATTATTGGCTCAATTCGTGAAAACTTTCCTATAATCACATGCGTGCTCTTGCTGTATCTGTTCCGCAATATTTATGTTACCCCAGTTTCCCCTTTATTATTATGGATTATTTTTTTCTGCTCTTTATGTTCAAAGATGTTCATTTGTATATTATTGTTTGGATCTTTCTCACCACTAAGTCCCTCTGATTCACATACTTGACCTTGACTCAATTTGCCTCTCATGAGCAATGGGTTCCTGCTTTGAAGTAGACACCTGCAAGCCAAAGGGCTGCTTTTGTGTGATAGGAGGGTCCATCAAACTTTCTGTAAAGTGACTTTTCTGCTTTGAAGTGGGTTTCCGTTTCATAGCACAGTTTTAGTAATGGAGAACTGGGGCCTTTAACAAATCATCGAGTGGTAGGGTGCTTCTGTTTAATATTCCAGCAAGCCAGAAAAGCCACTTTGTATTACTTACACATTTAGTTGTCTATTATTTTCTCCCAAATGGGGAGGCTTCATTAGAACCTAGCTAGAATCGAATGCACACTCGCCTTCAGGAACGTGAGTGAGTGTCTGGTAGCAGTGTGACTTTCTGCTAGGACTTTTTTTTTTGACCATATTGTGCATTTCATCCAGATATAAAGTCTAGTTTATTCAGCTCATGTACACAGAAGGGAATTACGCAGAGCCAGAGATTTCAATGTTTGGAACACCTTCCTCTCTTTTGTTTTTTCCAAACAGCCTTTTCAAGACTGATTTTGGCTGGCTTTATTTTGCAAAGCCCTGGGTTCAAACGTCTACAATCAAGATGCCTAAATAGAAGAGTGGGGTGGCAATACAAGATGAGAAGAACCACATTTTTCTTGCTTCTGACAGCGCGTAATCTTTCTCAAGAAAGATAAGATAGCATTCTCCCCTTTCCTTGGATGCTACATACTACAAGGCACTGCTTTGATGTCTTAGAGCAGTGTTGTCCAAACTTGGCCACTTTAAGATGAGTGGACTTCAACTCCCAGAATTCCCTCACCCCCTCCACCTGCTGGGGGGTTTTGGGGGGCGTAGGGCCCTCTCCTTAAAAAAAGGCACGAGTTAC